GACTTTAAAATGGAATAACAGTTCCCAGTTTTCCAGTGGATAGTCATTCATTCTTTGATAAAAGAACCACAGCTAAGTAACATGGTATATCTTTAAAAACCTTAAACATGACAATGACCTGAAGACCACTACAGCATAGGTTCAGTTTTGCAAATACCATCTTTTCAATCCTAAAGCATCTTTCTGTTTACCCCATACTGTAAGTGAGAACTAGGAAAGTACAATTCTCATTTGACACCAACTTTGTGAAAACACATTGCAATGCAGCATGAATATTATGTACTTGGTTCTGTTAAACTTTTTATAAGCTCTTATAGAACTAACATCCATGAAATGGCAAGTTGACAGTTTTGCAGACATACACTTTGTTTCCCAGTCTTATTTGTCCTAGATCATCTTTTCTGCAATAGATATTTGGCCTTACCCCAGTGAAAATGAACCAGTTTGCAATAAAGAGTAAATTTTACTCTTCGATGTTGATATTAAGTACAATTCCATATTCAGTCACATTTGAAATAGTAAAAGTTTTAGGATTTGTTGTTTTGAAATACACTGACCACATTTTTGGGTTTGACTGTTGAAATCAGGTTTCTTAATCTCATATTTGGACCTAAAATGAAAGTGACTAAGTTTTCTGAAGAGCTAAGCACCACAAAATCTGTAAGCCCATCATTTTGTCTGTAGTGGTTTAACAACCAGAAACCAAGGCATCATTAGGCATTTAATTGCTGTATATGAATTTAGGTATATTGTTTGAAACCCACATACACAGAAGTACACAGCACACATAAACTGGGTAGAGTATATATCTACAATTACATATACAGATGAAATCTCAGCTTTCTGGAAGTCAACAGTAAAACCGCATCAATTGTTACATGACTAAGATTTTATGCACAGGCAATGTGCAATTAAATATTTTAACATAATAAAGATACATTTAGAAGAGACTGGTATTTCAAAGGGGCCTAGAGAAATTCTTTTTCAAATAAACCTAAAGAACTAATTTGCTAAATATCACTACAATATTTAAATATTTTATATTCATTTCTGAAAATACCTGCCCAAGAGCATGTTCAATAAAGAAGTCTAATTGATACCATTCTGAATATCCTTGCTCTTCCTCAGACTGCTGAAAAGCTCCTATTGAGTCAGAACCTGTTCTCAAAACAAGCACTAGTGTACTAGAACTTCTAGCTGAAGCAGATACGTCTTCATATAGGGTTCAAGTCCCGTCTGGGGATTCTCCATGGATTGTTTTCCAAGATTGTCTATTACAAACTCAGCAAGTGCATAGGTCACCAGAGGAATAATGATGCAGTAGTATATAAATGTAGAAAAGCTGAGGAAAAAGAACCGTACCTTAGTAGAAAATCCACTGCTTCTTGTACAATACCTGACAAAATCAGATGCATCAATTTTTTTCATCAT